TTTGTTTAGCGTTTGTAATAATACTTTTATTCTGCCTTAGGGAATATTTTAGGAACTGTTTAACTATGAAATGTTAACGTAAGATATTGAGTGTACTTCTGTAATTATATGTTCATGTGTCTCATGGTTTTAAGATATAATTTACATAATGTGATAATTGTTGTAAGGGTGTTTTTGCAACTTGAATTGAAATGAAGATGAAAAATAAAATTATTAGTACTCACGGGTAAGGTCCACTTTAAAGGTAAAATCAACCTAAAAAAAACTGGAGAATAAAGCATCCAGCTCAGAAGATGATTCTTCTAGTGAAGAATCAGAAAGCAGTGGTAATGAAGATGTCTTCACTTCTAAAGCATCTTCAGCGTCACAATCGTTAAGAACCATCACTGAAGCCAAACTAAGGACTGTTAGGTCTAATAACTCATACACCCCAAACAAACCCAATCAGACGAAGACCTCTAGATCCTCCAGCGGTGACTCTTCTAGTGAAGAATCAGAAAGCTGTGAGGAAGAAGATAATGAAGATAGTGCTGGAGTTTTTAGAAAGACCTCCAGATCCTCCAACAGTGACTCTTCTAATGAAGAATCAGAAAGCGGTGAGGAATATGGTAATGCTAGTCTCCATTTCTAAAACATCTTCAGCAACACAATCGGCAAGAACCATCTCAGAAACCGAAGTAAAAACTGTTAGCTCTAATAACTCAATCAAACCCAAGCAGACTGTTTCACATCAAACAGTTCTTCACTCAACTGTCATAGACACTCGGAAACAACAGCAGGACAACCAGAAACGTCTCGCGGCACTGGAGCAACGTCAGAAAGAAACCGAACAGCAGAGGAAACTCATTCAAGGCGCTCTTTCTAAAGTGGTGAGTAGAGCTAGTCCATAAAAGTTTGAAGTATTTTAAGTGAGGTTGCACAATGAATAGGTGCAATATTGGTTATTGGTCATTTTTAGATATCTTTTAATTTAACAGTATTAGTCGGTTTTGCTTATTTAATTGTTCATGCTCATTTTTCATACTTTTTGCATTTTAGGTGACCTTTGTCATCATCTAATGCATGCATTTTGCATTTTTAAGTGTTTCATTTTTAATTTATTCTGATTAAATAGTATTGAATTTTAATATTGGCCATTTCTTATTTTATGCCATTCTTCATAAATTAATTATAAAGGAAAAAAGAAAAAATTCCTTCACAGTCCTATGTCTTGCAAAATTTATTAAAAAAAGTAAAAAAAAAAAAAAAATTTTGGTCAGGTTTTTTAAAATCAGGCTTGCAGTCATTTGTGTTGTGTAACAAGTTCTGAAACATTGCTAATAAATACACATTTTTAATTAGTAGTGTGCAGAATTTTTCACATTTTGTATGTTTTGATCATGATGTTCATTGATTTATAGTACATAAATGATTTATAAAATGATTATTGTCTTATCTGTAGTGACCTGAATTTTAATACCATTGCATCCATCATTTAAAGTCGTAATTCATTGAAAATGTAATTTGTCATAGTCTTTTAGAGTCATTTACTCTCAGAAGATCTTTTTCAGGACACAGTGAAAGCAAACAAAAGTAAACGCATTGTGTTTGATTCTGATGAAGAAGAGGATGAAACAACAAGCAGACCAGAAGAACAACCAACAAACTTGAAAAAAAGCCTCTTTGAGGACGATTCAGGATCCGATGAAGATCAACAAACATCCACTTTGAAAGAAAAGGCAAATATGGACCAAGATTGGATATGGAAGTTTATTTTCTTGAATTCTTTGATTTTTTTGTTCATGTTTCCATCATAATTCCACAGAAGAACAACAAGCCAGGTGGCAGCAAGCTGTTTGACAGTGAAGATGAGGACGATGGTGCTGAGGACGAACGGTTCCAGAGTAAGCCCCAGTTTGAGGGCAAAGCTGGACAGAAGGTTTGGATTGAGAGTCTCTTTCAGGATGGAGAGATTCCGAGTTTGTTTGATTTCTCATTCATTTGTTTTCATCTTTTTTTTTCAGCTCATGAAGCTGCAGGCTAGTTTCGGAACCGATTCAAGATTCCAGGTCGATTCTAGATTTCTGAAAAGTGACGATGAGTCTGAAGATCAAGGTCATTTATTACAAGTATGTTCTTGGGCTTGAATGTGTTTGAGAGAATTATTCACCTGTTTCAGTCTTTCAAATTTCAAATGCAGCAGCTCCAGAAAATGATGCAGACGAACAACTTCTTGAGGAGAAAAAGAAAAGTCTAGACATCCTCCAGAGCATTTTAAACTCCAGCATACAACCACAAAACACAAGAAAGGGCAAGACGTTCAAGTATGACTTCTTCAGATGTGCTTTCAGCACACAGTTTGTTCTTTTCACTTGTTTTTAAAGGTTTATGAACCTTGTTTGGGTTTGCAGAGATGTTTCGAGCCTGCATTACGACCTGACACAAGAAGAACATGCTGCTTTTGAGACCAAGACAGAGGAACCGAAGAAAGAGAGGTATTACATAAACTCATTTTTGGGTTTTAGTTAATATTGACTCACCGCGATGTTATTTAACATTTGCACTTTTGTACAGCAAAGCAGCGTAACGAAAGAAACGCAAAGAGGCTGAAAAACTCCCTGAAGTTTCTAAGGACATTTAATTTGACATCTCGGTGGATTTGAAGGAGGTCTTCGGGACATCTGAAGAAAACCAGTAAGAGAAGGAAATGGTTTCATGGGATAAAGAGGCAGAAGAGACTGAAGACATGGAGGTTTCCTTCACGTCTAATGTAGAAGCAAAATAAGACACTTCAGGTGGATTCAAGTTCTCCTTCTTTGGTGAGGACACAGCTGTAGAGACGACCACCAAGACAGGTGCACTGATCATTTATGTCATTTTTCATTGTAGGTAAATTATTGGGTATATCCTTGCACTTTAAAATTGGTTTTCGCCATTGGTTTCTCAAACTTTTTCATTCAGAACTGTTGTTTAGGTTTATTTATGCAGGTATTTTTTATCATAATGAGTTCTGAAATCACATTATACCACATATAACAGTTTTGTGTTAAAGTTTAAGTGTTTTTTTTTTTGCCCAATCAGACGAGTACAAAATAGAGACGTTAAAAGGAGCCAAGTTCTCTTGGCAAGTGGACCCTCGTTTCCAGGACAGCAGTTCAGACGAGGAAGGCAGGGACGAGATTGAGGAGGACCAATCCGCTTCCAGCAAAATCACAGAGTAATTATATTAGCATTTCAATTATAATGTATTTATTATGGGAACTCAGAACTCATGAGTTATGGTTGATGTGTGCCTAACTGGATGGTGAAATTGTGATGAAACGATGGGTTTGCTGAACCACAAGCAGTTCTGTCTTGGAAAGGTTGAGTTGAAGGTGATGGTCCTTCATCCAGCAAGAAATGTCTGTTAGACAAGCTGAGATGCGAGCAGGTATCGTCGGATCATCAGGATGGAATGAGAGGTAGAGTTGAGTGTCATCAACATAGCAGTGATATGAAAAGCCATTTTTCTGAATGACAGAACCTAATGATGCTATGTAGACAGAGAAGAGAAGTGGTCCAAGAACTGAGCCCTGAGGCACCCCAGTAGTTAGATGTTGCGACTTGGACACCTCACCTCTCCAAGATACTTTGAAGGACCTATCTGATAGGTAAGACTCAAACCACTGGCGTGCGGTTCCTGAGATGCCCTTTGCCAATAGGGTTGACAGGAGGATCTGGTGGTTAACCGTGTCAAAAGCAGCGGACAGATCCAGCAAGATAAGTATTGAAGATTTGGAATCCCCTCTTGCCAGTCTTAGGGCTTCAACAACTATGAGCAAGGCAATCTCGGTTGAATGTCCACTTCTGAAGCCAGATTGGTTGCTGTCCAGGAGGTTGTTCTGTGTGAGAAAGGCAGAGACTTGTTTGAACACAGCTCGTTCAAGTGTTTTTGCAATGAAAGGAAGAAGGGAAACCGGTCTGTAGTTCTCTAAAATAGATGGGTTAAGGGTGGGTTTCTTAAGTAGTGGGGTTATATGAGCCTGTCTAAATATTGAGGGAAAAACACCAGTGTGAAGGGATATGTTAATGATGTGAGTGAGTGCAGGTACAATTACAGGAGAAATGGCTTGAAGGAGATGAGATGGAATAGGATCAAGCAGACAAGTAGTAAGATGATTAGAAAGGATGAGTTTGGAGACTTCTGCCTCAGAGAGTGAAGAGAAGGATGAAAACGAGAGTATGTTTGCTGGTAAGATGTGCTTGACAGATTGTGGTGTGGAAAATTGTGCACTGATGTTTTTAATTTTATTAATGGAAAAACGTGGCAAAGTCGTCAGCTATTAGAGTTGATGCAAGAGGGGGAGGACAAAGGAGCGAGGAAAATGTTTTAAAGAGCATGCGAGAGTTAGACGAATTGTTATTATTCTGGGTTTCCTTAAGATGGCTCACAAAACCCGCTGATTAGTCAATACTGAATATACAAATGGAAAATCTGGGATACAAGATTTAGGTTTAAGATTAATATGTTTAGAAAATGTAAAATAAAGAAATATTTAAAGTGAAGTACAGTTAAAAACTAAGTTTTAAAAATGTTTACGAAAAAAAATTATTTCAGTTTTTCTACTTCAGAATTTAATTCAGTGTGTTACTGTTTCTTTGTAATTGTGAAATGTACTATACATTTTTGGTCAATTTCACAAATTGTTTCTACACCATTTTTTTTTCACTGTACAAATATTAAAGATCTTGCTCTCTTTCAAAGTCAGTAATCAAATAAACAGACACATGTTTTGCATATATCTATATACCAACAAAATCTTATTTAGATTACATTTTGATTGAAGATTCATTTATATTTTGTGCAGGGAACCGACAACATCAAAAAAGACGTTTTTCTTTTTCTATCAAGATGACGAACGGTTAAAAGGTGAGATCTAAACTCATGTTAACAAATTAAGACACTCACTAACATTTAAAAAAAATATCACACAACAAACCATAACAACAGCATATTACTCATGCCTGTGTTTGTGTGTGTGGTTAAATTCAAATGGGTTTCTATTATTAATTTATTTTTAATTCAGTGTAACTGCTGTGCTTTCAAACTCTCTATGTACAAATCTCTTTTCTTCAGAGGGGCCGGGAATGTTTTGTAGAAGTGTAAAACTACAAGACCAGAGGGGAAGCCTGGGAAGAGAAGAGGACGTCGCTCAGAGAGGTACCACTGATTCATATGGAAAAACGAATCATGTTAATTTCACTTCAATTAAAGATAAATGTTTCATTATTCCTCCAACATTAAAATGTGTTATGTAAATTTTAAATGCTAGAAGTATATGAAATGTAAATGCACTAATATTTTGTGCATATTATTAAAATGCATTTTATGCTCAGTCCCTTTGCTTGAAACAGATTGTGGATTCCTAGTTTAACATATTTCAAAATGGTTATATGACATTTGAAAGTACTGAAATTTGGTTTGCAGTTTTTATAACATGAATTACAGCCGTTTCCCCCCAACAGGAGTGTCGCAAGAAACACAGAGATGCCAAAAGACACGCCAGAGGCCTTCGCTGAAGACCTGAACAATTTAAAGTATTCAAAGACATTTTTTACAGAGAAGATGACAGGTTTTCAGAGACATCTTTGCATATTCTATTTAATAGCTATAATTTATTGTAAAAAACTGACCAAAGTGCTTTACAGAAGAAAAATTTATAAAAACACACACCGAAAACAAGCCAAATAAAAATATGAAAACCCATTAAAAAATTACCAAATAACAGTAATCAATACACTAAGGAAAACAGATAGGTTTTTAGCAGGGACTTAAAGACAGGCAGAGAGGAGGCCATTCTAATTTCTAAAGGCAGGGTATTCCAAAGCCGTGGCCCTGCCACCGCAAATGCACGCTCCCTTCTATGCTTCAGTCTAACATGTGGAACTACCAACAAAGCCTGGTCGCAAGATCTTAGGCTTCTAGAATTGAGTGTATAAATGAAGAAGTTCAGAGAGGTAGACAGGAGCTAAGTTATGTAACGATTTAAAAACAAAGAGTAGAATTTTGAAGTCTATTCTCTGATGAACCGGCAACCAGTGTACCACTAGAGGGTGGTGTGATAATACTTTCATGACTATTGCAGCAGGCTTCAGTGTTTGTTTTCATTTCTCACTCACTTTCTCCAAACTACAGGATCGGCCACAAAGTTGTGTTCTAGAAAACCTACTCTGTGCTTTTTATGTGTACACGTGCCGCACTAAAGATTGTTTAGTACATATGTTCTGCACAGAAGATCATGCAAATGTTACATCATGCAAATGTAAACGTTTTTTTGTAGTGATTTTTGCATCTAGTCTCTCAGGAAAGTTTGCACAGTGTCAACAGCTACAAAGGGAAAAAAACATGTCTGTATGTGCGAGCAAGATTGAGAAAACTCTTCAGCCTTGTCCTAGTGACCATTTTGTCTAATGATAGTGATATTTGACCCCTAGTGTTTACTCTTACCCTTATCTGCAGACTCAAGCAGTTTCCACCAACTAGTGCAAAAGGGTAACTGGAGTCTTTACTATTCCTTTACTCTTGTGTAAACTTCCAAAAAATGCTTAAAGATTTAATGTTATCCATGAAGGTTTTGATCACAGATATTTTTGTCATTTTAACTAATGTTCTTACATCGAAATGTGTCTCTAATATATGAAAGTTATAAGAATTTAGGTTCTAATTTGCATACAAGTACAAGTAAAAAAAATATACAGCTATATATTTAAGGTATAGTGACTGGTCATATTTTGCCATTTGGAATCACTTTTTTGCTTTATTGCAGTTCATGTAAATGAATGATTTGTATGAGCTGTAGCATGTCTTACAGTTAGAATTAATTTTTTTCAAGGTCACACAAGCTCAGGCAAGTTGGCACTGAACGTGTTTAATGTCAGTCTGTGCAAAGGCCAAGAATGAAACGTGCAATCACTCAAGGAGCTAAAATCTTGCGCTGTTATTTTTGTCCGCTGATGAAACCCTTAATAAATCTACAGGAACCATTTGGCTCTGCCCACCCTGTTGAAAAAAACAGCATATGCTGGTTAGGTATGTTTTGACGCTGGGATGCTGGTTTAAGCTGGTCCTTTGCTGGTTTAAGCTGGTCCTTTGCTGGTTTAAGCTGGTCCTTTGCTGGTTTATGCTGGTCCTTTGCTGGCAAAACATACCTAACCAGCATATGCTGGTTTTTTTCAACAGGGCAGTTAGCGTATTGTGTGTGTGTGTGTGAGATAGTAAACAGCTAAACACAATTACC